AATGTTTGAATGTTAGGATGAAAAAGTAACTAGTCAGTAATGAAGTGTAGGAGTAATGAGATGATGTTCTTTCCCTGTTCCCTGTAGCTATCAGTGCTCAGGGTTGAAGGGATTAATTTGGATTTAGGCCATGAGCTAATTGCAAAGGCAGAGAGGTGCAGTGTCTGGAGCAGAAACTGTATCTATACCCGCTTTCTTCAAACCAGTGCCAAGAGGAAGAGGTGGTATTACTTCTGGCCACTCCTTCAGAACTCCTTGACCCTCAGGCACTGTGCTTAGCACTGACATAATCCTGAATTCTCTTGCAGTTGTTATTTTTGTACTTCATGCATTGTTGCTTCAGGAGCCTCGGTAACCTGCCTGCTTCTGAAACCATTCATTGATCAAATTCGAGAAGAAATACAGGCCAGCGTAATTTTAAAATCTTTGCCATTTTTTATTTTTTTTCACACGCCACGGAACCACGCCTTGGGTACCCCCAGTATCCCGGCCCAACTTTGTCCACTTTTAGGAATTACAAGTCCCCTTCAAACCTGTTCTGCCTCAGTGGGATCTAAGAAAAGATCTGAAATGAACCATGTAGCATTTTGGACAGAGTATTTGGTTTGTAGTTCAAATACCTGGGGCACTCAAACCTTGGCTGTGAAATTTCCTATCTTTGTGGTGTCAGGAAAGTCTTTCACTTCAGAGGTTATTTTGAGGTCTCTGTTTCCTGAGCTGCAAAATGTACATGAAAGTGTTTTAAACTGTAGTGCAATGCAGGTATAAAATGCACTGATCCTGGTGTGAATTTGTCAGTGTGTGCCTTCTGTAGAATTCTTTACATATTGGAGTTTTAATTATAATTGTTTTACTTAAACATATTGAACATTTTGGTGTAAGAACTTGAGAAACACAGTAATTCAGGAGAAAATGTTTTGCCCCTCAGAAAAAGAAGTATCAACAGTAAGGAATAGGAGTAGAAGGGATATAATTGGCCAATAGGGACAGAGTGACCATTCTCTGTGTATACAAAACAAAAAAGAGGGGCCGGGGTTTAGCTCCGCGTGGCTGCCGCCTGCCTTACAAGCACAAAGTCCTGAGTTCTATCCCCAGTACCAAAAATAAATAAAGGTAAATGAAGTTTTTTTTTTTTTTTTTTTTTCTTAGAGGCAAAGGGCAAAGAGAATTTCTGATACAAAATAGACTGTGAGAAATCTTTGATATGGGTACCGGGGATCGAACTCCAGACCTTGTGCTCGCGAGGTAGGTGCAGTGCCGTGGAGCTAAATCCTCAGCCCATGCTAAGTGGTTTTGGTGTCCGAAGGCTTCAGCCCGTCATCTCCCTGTCCATATAGAGCCTTGTGTTTAGCGTTTCTATCTTTTTTTTTTGGTACCGGGTATGAACTCGGGTCCTTGCGCTTGCGAGGCAGGCCACCGAACCGCTGGGCTCAATCCCCGGCCCTAGCATTTCTGGCAAAGGGGAGGTTTGTGTTCAGCTTCAGATTCTTCATCTGAGTTGCAGCCCAGCTTTGGTCAGTGGAGTTGTTCTCATGTTTCAGATGGGGAAGACAACATTCCTTATACTGACAAGGAAACAGTATTATCAAGCGTAAGTGAAGGCTATATAAAGCACATTAACTTTCCAAATGAAACATACTATAAAATGGCATTTCCGAATTTATTCTTGTGCCATTTCCTTTAACAGAATCACTCCTGAAGAGCCTGAATAATTGCCAAATGCAAGTATTTAAAATTTTAAGAGCTAATAAATAAACAACTATTAAGTACTACTAGCCTGAATATAACACAAAACACATTAAAATGTAAAATTAGATTGAGCCATTGTCTGCCTTTATCCCCCATCTTTATGGCTATACCCTGGGGTATTCGACATAATTTGCAATTTACACCTTTGCGAATAGCAGAAGGCTTAGAAATGTAAAAGGATCTGACCTAGAATCTCAATACTAGGATTCTCAAATCCTGCGCCTGCCTCTGAGTCCAGGATCCTGACTGTTCAGAGGCTGAGAGGCACTGACTGGGTATTAGCCACACAGGTAAGGACCAGCCAACCAGAAATTCAGTGGGGCCACCCGAAAGGAGTACATTACTAAGAGTTGCTTTTTCAGTCTTCTAATTAGCTGTTAGAAAGGAACATGCACTTCAGAGTTGTTTGCTGGTTGAGCATTCACTAAAGTTCCTGACACATTCATTGTGGTGCAGTGTCAAGAGCAATAAAAACATGCATTTTTTTGTTTGCTTTTTAAGTATCATTCTTTTCTGCCATATCATTTCAATTGCTCTTTGTTGTACCTTCCCACAGCTAAAGGTTGTTTTTGCCCCAGTGGTGGGCGGTAAATAAAAAGAATTAAACAACTTCAGAATGGAACTAGAGGGTAGAGTTAGCTGGGGTCCTTAAATCCTGGATCAGAACCAGCCAGTGCTAGGCAAGAAGTCTCAATTCCCAGAAGAAGCTTCACGATCTAAAACATCTGTTTCTGAATTTGGCAAAATTCCACTTTTTTTATTTGTAAAATTGTTCCCATCTTTGAAAACACTTTAGAAAATAAAGAAGTCCCCATTCTGTCTCCTTTTTCCACCCCCCGACACATGCATTTGTAATTACCTGGTTTAGTCTGTGTGTTTAATCAGTTTAAATAGAGAATGCTGTGTGCATCTGATTTCAATCTGAAGGAGCCATTGAGTATTGGGCAGTTACCACCCTGTGTCTGCCAAAATGTGCCTCTGCCAAAAAATGGATAGGACTCACACCCCAGGGTATTTCCTAAAGAAGCCACTTGACTCAGATTAGATGTTTAATTTCCTTAAAATATTGTTTTGGATTTGGGTCTCTGTTCTCTAATTGGGATTTTCTGATGTAATTTAGGAATATCACTTATTTGCTGAGTTTGTGCCAGACTCCAGCTGGCAGTCTTCTAAGAGCTAAGCCTCACGGAAGTAACTTCCCTCCAAGCCCTGAGTGTCAGACCTCACTGCTTTGAAGGGTGGGCCAGCCTGTATTTATTCATGTCTTTGTGCAACATCACCCATGCAATGCAGTGGAATTAATTTTGAGGGAGGAATAATCGTAATGAAGCCTCTGATTAGAAGTTCACCTCTTTTGACATACTTTCCTAATTGAAGTGGAAAAACTTGGTTGTAAGTTCTAGTACTGATTATTTATTTATTTGGGTTTTATTTTTATGACTGATGTAGCAACCAAGTTGTGTCTAGATCTCTTTAGCTCACTTCACCTAAAATGCCTGCCACTGGCCAGTTTGAGATGACAGGTTTAGTTTTTTTCTCCCTGGGTCCTAATTTTTGAATAGTAAAGAATTAACAAGTTGAGCTCTTTCTAGAAGTTTTAAATCAGAGTTCTTTAAGTCTTCTGGCATTTGAAAGCTTTTCTAGGAGCCTTTTTATTTGTTACAGCATGACCACTAGCAATTCTCTCTTGTACCTTGCATAGTAGCAGAGCCTTATGTATTGGGGCGATGGACTAGCACTCCACAGGGGTATTTTCAGTAGACTCATGAGCCCATGTTGGGCTACACAGCCAGAGTGCTGAAAGCAAAACAGATGTAAGGAACATAGGAGAGACCCTTGTAGTATTTATCTATGACAGGGCTTTAAAAAAATCTTTTAATTATGATATAACCACACATCGTCAGCTGGTTAGGGTTACTAGATTGTAGTGAGGAATTTGTTTTGCAAGAAAATAGTCAAAACCAATGAAGATGAAGGATAAAAAAGCATGGCACAAAGCTAAGATCACTTGATGTAGCATTTCACAGTGGAATTGGTTTCGCCCTAGGAACTGGGAACATTTAACCGTGTAAATGAACATTTAAAGTCAGCTTTCTGTGGTTCAGTCTTCTCCTGGAAGGCCCCCTGAGGGTACTGTCACAATTAGATCTCTCCCCATTGCGCCTGCATTGTCCCACACGGGTGTTCTGTCTCTAGGACGCCTCTGCTCTGATGCATGAAGTGTTTAACTTAAAGTTTACCTCTCAGAGGCAACCTCATTTCTGATTTTCTGTCATCTTGCACAGCATCACCTCAGATAGGCAGCTAACTTGCTAGGGTGCGAGTTTAGTCTCTTGCTTCCCTCAATGAGCCCGCATTCCCTCTGGTCTTTCCTGGGTTGCAGAGGAGCTACATCAGCGCCATTGTTTTGGGCTACACAGTTGTCAGGCTGAAAGCAAAACAGAAGCAGGGAACACAGTGGAGACCCTTGTCTGCAGACTTGATCACTATTTTACCCAGTTTTAGAATTTCTCCTTTGTCAAAGCCAAGGCATCGTCTGATTTATTCATTTCAAATACAGTATTTATGGAGTACCTACTATCTGTCCAGCACTACTTGCTTAAAAAACACCACAGTAAAAGAAACCAAGAATCATGCCACCCAGGCTGCTTGACATAAAGAGGGTTGTTTTAAGATTGCACTAGTGTTTGGTTGTGAAGTACCCCAACTAAGTGCAGTGGGAGGTATTGAATGCACCGAGAGGTAGCAAGTGCCCTACCTCTGCCTATGTGGCCTTCCTCCAAGGAGCAGGGAGTACACTGTTTTAGCCTCCTCCATTGTCTTTCTTGGATTCTAATGCAGGATCTGATCATTTCTCTTTGATTCTTGTTGCAAGGAAGAAGCTTCTGACCATTGTTGGACTGGTATTAGAAGGGGAAATATTTGGGTACAGTGATTGCTAGTTAGTAAGTGAATAGAGAATCTAGATACAAGGATAGCCAAAACTGAAAAGAAATGATTTTTTAGTAAACTTGAAAGGGTCTTTAAGTACTTTGTGCAATGCCGTGATGGTGGTTGGTGGAGAAGTTGGGATGATAATTAATCCTAGATCCCACACCTAACATGTTCATTGTGTATATTCATGCACATACACCTGGACTATGCATTCTGACCATTATTTCTTGAAAATAAGGGGACAGTGCCACCCAGTCTGTTGATCAGTGTTCTGCCTTAAATAGTGCATTCACCTGGGATCTCCTTTTCTCCTTCAGAGTTGCTGGAATTGTGGCCGTAAAGCAAGCGAGACCTGCAGCGGGTGTAACACAGCACGATACTGTGGCTCCTTTTGCCAGCACAAAGACTGGGAGAAGCACCACCACATCTGTGGACAGACCCTGCAGGCACCGCAGCAGGGAGACACACCCGCCGTCAGCTCCTCTGTCACACCCAGCAGCGGGGCCGGGAGCCCGATGGACACACCACCAGCAGCCACTCCGAGGTCAACCACCCCGGGGACCCCTTCCACCATAGAGACAACCCCTCGCTAGACGTGAACTCAGAACTGTCGGAGGAAAGACAACGCAACCAATATGAAACCAATTCCTCATCCTCAGATGCTCAAAGTCATGTTTCTGTTTGTTTGTTTATAGATGAACTATCCTATTTCAGTACTTCAGCAAGAGAAAACCTAACTGTATCTTGAGGTGGTAGTAAAACGCAGAGGGCCAGTAACGGGTCGTAATGACTTATTGTGGATAACAAAGATATCTTTTCTTTAGAGAACTGAAAAGAGAGCAGAGAATATAACATGAAATGCTAGATTTGACCTCCTCCCTGTTATTTTCAAGTAGCTGGGATTTTAAACTAGATGACCTCATTAACCGATGCTTTACCAAACAGCAAACCAAGAGATTGCTAATTGCTGTTGAAAGCAAAAATGCTAATATTAAAAGTCACAATGTTCTTTATATACAATAATGAAAAAAAAAAAAAAAAAGAGGAAACCCCTCAAGGGCATGAGCATTGGATACAGCAGTAGACATTTTAACCAGAAGATGAATGGCGTCCGTGGGTTGCTAACTGAACTTTGAAGACCCGCTACAAACGCGCAGATGTGCAGCAGATTGGAAGGAGACACAGATGTTCAGTTTTTTTCCTGTTTCTGAAAAGAAATAATAATATCCAGGTGAACAGAATGAAAAATGAAAGATGATTTGCAGTGGGATGTATGAATACAGCAGCAAGAAAAAAATGCCATAACACAAAGGCTCCTTTTATATATACGTACACGCACATAACACACACACCGAAGTAAGAGACTCAGCCTGCAGTTAATTAGCATTCTGGCAGCTTCAACACCAGCCAGCTGCCCTCAATAACCCTTCAACGTTTCTTCACTTTTGCAAGGTTCCACAGAGTTAAGACATTGGGTCTATTCCAGCTCATTCATTTTATATTGAAAAATGATTTTTTAAAAAAGAAAATGGTGGCTGCAGCTCCAGCCCCTTTCCAAAATTTTTCAACCCCACCCTGTTTGGATTTTTAATTAAAAAAAACTAGTAGTTCTCTTGGTGTTAAAACACTTCTGTCCTGTGAGGTTTCCCAATGGTGTTTTTCTTGTAAATGTGTTGCACAAATGTGAAGTTGCATTGTAGTTTATCCATACGCCCACATTTAGTCTCTTTATTCCTAGTTGGTGAGAAACCTGTATCTTTCTATGCTGCTTTTATATCTGTATGTATTAGTGATATTTCTCTAGTAGTTAAAAAGAAAAAAGAAAAAAAAATTTTTTGGTTGTCCTCAAGAAAAGAAAAAGCTATCTTTCGGAGCTGCTATTTCACTCTCTTATAGGATTTTTTTTTTTTTTTCCTGAGAACCAGCATGCTTCACGGAATGCTAACATTGGTGTTTTTGTAAGAGGGATGTACATAAATGTATTTTGCACTGTCACAATGACTCCCTTGGCATGCTTTTTTTTTTTCCAAGCAAACGTTTTAAAATATGCTAGAGCCATTTCACCAATTTTAGCTGTAGCATAGAGTAGTAGTGGAATTTTTCTTTTTTCTTTTTTTTTTTTCTTTTTTGGAAAAAATCATTATTAGGGACTTTAAAAAAAATAAAATATCCTACTTTAAAAAGAAAGACAGTGCATGCATATTGCTGTAAGGTCGTTTAAGTATTTCTAATTTTACAAAAAAGAAAAAAAAATCATTAGAGCTCCAAATGCTGAGGTGTAGACTGACAGCTTTAACACTGCTGAATGCTAGGTTATACAGTATTCTTACAAAAAGGGAAGTCAGCCAAAGACTGATCTGATGGACCAAAATCGGAATTTTGAAAAGCTCCAGTACTACTTTCCAAATGATCAGCAGGTTAAACATGTCCAGCAAGGTATAGTGTGAATCCATTAACCCTTCGTTGTCCAGGGTCCAGACCAGAACTACTTGTTAGTTTTGAACACAGTAGCCCAGGATGTGGTTGTGTGCTTTACCAGAGTCGGCAGGGCTGCAGGCTGTGTAGACAACCAAAGTTGACAAGGCTGGGAGACACTTCTCCATATACACGTACACCAGGCATTTCCTTACAAACTGAAAACGATCCATTAGCTTTGGGGGGAGGGGGTTAATGCAACCCTGGGATGCATTTTTAAGTGGCTTTTAAGTTATCTGCATAGAGGCAATCCTCAAATGGTTTTAAGTCTCTTAAATCTAATGTTTAAAGCATTTTCCCCCACCCCGTATCTTTCTATACAAATTGTTTTTAATTTCATTTGGATAGTGTTACCTTTTAATGGCTTTTTAGTTTAGAAAATTCTGATGAGCAAATAAATACATCTATCTGCATGTTGGAAGTCCATCTGCCGGCACACCTGCTTAAAGTGGAATGAAAGCACATACCAGGCTCTGAATGGGTTATATCTCATCATGGTGCTCCCAGAATCCTTTGACCTCATTCTGCTTTCTAGTCTGCTTGTGACACTGGACAGTCCTTTCTTACAGAGCTATTATATGTTCTAGGCTACGAAGGGTTTAAATAATCCCAAAAATGAGGTATGTCATACCCACATGTCTTTAGAAGCTGTGATGTATGTGAAACAGCACTGTTAATCTTCTAAACACTAGTATGTAAAATAAGGATTAGTACAGTATGTCTCATTACTTTTTAATTCAGGGCACCCTGAGTGAAAACAAATACAAAAAAAAAAAAAAATCCCTAACTCTGAGCTCTATCTCTGATTCCTCTTCCTCCTTCCCTTCTTCCTCCTCCTCTTCCTCTCCTCCTGTTTTGCTACATTCTCCTCAGTGGCAAAAAGTTTCACTCTACCTCTGACAGCATGTATATTGCACCAGTAGCTAACAAAAACTGGTCTAGTCAAACCAAATGGGCACAAAAGAACCAGGATACCAAAAGTTAAGCTCATACAGCTGCAAACCATATCACTTCTTGGTAACAATGCAGACCTCATAAACCTAAAGAAGAGAAAGAAAAAACTTTTGTTACTTTCCTTTTTTGCTTGTCACTTATATACAGGCTATGTGAGAGTATAATTTGTAGGTATTACACATTTTGAAAAAAAGTTATCTTCATTGGATAGAATTGAATGGTGGTCGCTGATAGGAATAGGGCGTCCTCTATCTCTTCTCTCTGTCTCTTAACTCTTCTCTTTCTCTTTTCTCTGTCATGAGACTGTGTGTGACAGGGCCACCTGTCTTTTTAATTTTTTTAACTTTTTTTTTTTTTAATGTGTAGGTGCATGTCTTGGGGATTTAAAAAATTTCAAGGCTGGTTTACTTATGCAAAGCATGCCTACGTCTGGAATACTTAGGGAAAGAAAGCGACTCCATGTTGTCCGAATTCCTCAAGGGACAGAAAAATAAAAAAAATTGGAGACTGTTGAAATGCAGATTTGAAGTAATTTTTTTAATATTATTTTGGGTTCTGCAACATTATTGTGAAAAATTAAAGTTGTTGTGCAATACTTAATTCAGACATGTACCACAAGTTAATGGTAGACTAACACTGGGGGGTGGGGCCTAGGCATCATGCTTCTGTCAGCAAACTCTTGAGCTTTTAAGTCTACTATGTCTGAACTGTGGTTTCTTGTTTATCCTTTTTTCCTTAGTTGGACTGTATTGTATGGTCTGTCAACCTGTGAATCTTTAAAGTATGATTCAGGTATTGTTGTATTCTTTACTGTGTAATAAAAAAGTTTAAAAAAATCTGTATTCTCTGTCTCCCTTATACTCAGTGGGTGCCATGGCTGCTCACCCAGTGCCCTGGCCTGGGTGGCCCCTCCCGTACAACGCTGAGGCCTCTCTAGAGTTTATTCAGCCATAGCGCCTGCCTCTACCACACGAGTTGGCTTACGCTTGAGTGGTGAAGAGGGAGGGATGTGAGAAGGCAGAAGGCAAGTTAGAGGATGTTTCCCAGGTAGGAGGAGCTGGAAGAGTGGAGAGGTACAGCCTCCCGTAGGAGAGGGGAGCTTGGCCTGCTTAACCCAGCAGCTGTGTTTCGATAATACTAAAAACCAGTGCCCATTCCTGGGTCGCCCTCTCTGGCATGGTTCATCCCTGTCTTAGGAGGCTCTGACTCTTGGCAGGTTGCTCAGCGCCCCCACCCCTGGCTGAATGACAGACCCACTGAGGCAGGGCTCTTCCTCCATCTGCCTTGGCCCCTTGCCTTTGATTAAAAATCATCAGCATTTTCACTCCTGTTTTTGTGCATCGATAATACACACTGAAGCTGTCTCCAGCTTGGCTGGGTGGCCTGAATCATACCCTTTGACATATTGGGTTTTTTTTTTTTTCTCACTCTAGTTATAAAGCTGTTTAAGAATTTAAAGCCCCAACCCTTTTACCCTATGAATGCACTAATTTTTGCATAGTTTTCAGAACATAATTTTTTTTTGAAGTAAAGTATGTACTGCATTGTAGCAGAAATTCTCTTGTCTCTGAATATCCCACTTTATGGGCCAAAGGCTAGCAAGGGGTAGATGATGACAGCCCTGCAGGAGCCGGTGGAGAGAGGGCCCAGGGTGGGAGCTGTTGAGCAGGAGGGTGGCCTGGGTCCTTCCATTCAACTTCCTGCTAGTGTGATCTGGGTCCGTAACCTGAGGTCTGCCCCCGCCAAATGATCTTGAGAAATGCAGCTTTCTAGCAGGTCTTACTTCAGAAACTTGGTAGTACACACCAGGTGAAAACAAAAAAGAAAACAGATTCTTAAGAGTGGACATCTCACTTCCATGACTTTAAACAGTTCAGGTTAGATATTTAACTTGGTAATTCCTCCCCACCCACCCCGCAGAAGTCAGACTAGCCTGACCCCACATGCTTACCCTTTCATGTATAAATGTATCTTTTTTTTCTCTCTCTCTTCAAAGTAGAACAGGCTAGAAACTAGCAGATGTGAAGAACAGAAGCAGGACCCACTGGAGTAGCCCCCTTTATAAGTAGTTCTTGAAATCACCTCTGTGACATTTTCATACACGTGGATGTGTTGGACAAACAAGAAATGCTTTTAGTTTATATGAAAAAATATGAGCAAAATCCAGAGATTTTTAGGTGTTGGACTTCATTTTTTGGAAGTGTTGATGATGTATTTGATAATATTAAAAAGGATGTACCTGCCATAAAAGAACATTCAATTATTTCCCTGGAATGGTTGGGGAAGAATTGATGAAAGAGGTGCTGTTCTGTATGGGTGTCTATGTCCTTATTCCACGGTGAACAAATAAAATTGTATTTGCTTAAACTTGTTCCTGGTCAGTCTGTTTTCCACCACACTGGGGAAATTGAGTCACAATGTATTTCCCCGTCACCCTCTCCATCCACTTAGGGTGGAGGGAAGAATCAAGGTAATCACATGCTTCTTTGCTTTTGGAAATTTCAGGTTCAAATAGCGTTTGTCGAAAATTCTTCAAGATTGTTCATGGGAAGTCTGAGAACTTGTTAAGATTAACGTGACTGACTTCCTACGATAAAAATACTGTAACATCTGAATGGGAGAAAGATGGCAGATAAGAGGAGGA